TTTTCACCAATTATATTACTGTCATGATTATTGTTCGTTAATTGCCGTATATTTTCTTTTGAGTTAGAATGTTAATAATTAACTGTGTGTTTTTTCTCTCTTTTTTTAAATAACGGAATGGTTATTATGGTTAAACACTTCTCGGCAAAGCAACGTGATTTTCCGAGCTCGGAAAGATCTTCGCACGTGTGTAGACCTAGGCTATTTGGTCTTGCAAGAACAGGTGTGTGCACCGTTCCCTAGTGACGCTTAGATCAATAGACTGGGTATCAGTACTTGCTACGGACATAAAGAAGTTTAGAACTATACACCACTTTCATAACAAGTGCAGTTTTTTTACTCATGGTGAAGCCGTAGACTGGGCTAGAGGGGCTGAGTTATGGTCATCGATCTAACACGAAAATGTACTATTTTTGTAAATAAAAACATTTCTAGAAACAAAAATAAAATGAAGTTTATCTTCAAAACGTCTGTATATTCAAAATCAGTATATCATGTATATGGTGGAGGAATATTCAGTGATGCTCCATAGCCGCAACCGATCTCGCGCTTTCCTTTGCGTTTAACTAACAACGGCCGTCAATGCATCACTGGACGAGTTCATTGATTACTCTAAAAGGTGACAGGTTGGACCATCTTTAACATCTGCCTATACTTTGAGTGATAGTACTTTTTAATCGCACAAAATTAAAAAATTAATTAAAATCTATCCTTGATAGATCTAAAGTTTTGCTATTTATGAAAATGGGCTATCTTTGATAATCCATAACGGCTTGGACTTGTTTTGATTTTTTTTTTTTACAGAAGATTCTATCATTGGAAAGTTAGATGGTACACATGTAGCACAGGCCCATAGTACGCGGGATTTTTTGGGAGTCCCCCCCCCTTTCACTTTGAAAACGTTGCTATAGGCCTGTAACATGCTATTTGGATTAAATATTCCTGAAAATGAGTGAGGCGTTAAATACATTTTTAAAATTATACGATTAATTATATTTAGTTTATGTTCTATGTGAAATTAAAACTATTTTTATGCATGTGCAACTTTGTGATAAAGTCACTACATGCATGTAACGTTATATAGGCCCCTATGTACATGCAGTTTGATTCCTACTATATGCATATTTTATTCAACAAAAGATGTTGAAACTCAGTAGCCTAAATATTATGTCATTTTAGGATATTTATGTATAAGGCACTTTTATAGTTGACTTTCTACAACTTGAGTATCTCTGACGTTTTGTCAGTAAATACTTGTTTTTTTTTTATTAGAAATCATCTGAACACAATGAAAATTCGAATAAATTAAAAGTCGAATATCTTGGATATGGGGTAACCCATATCTATTCTTGTCACTACAGATTCAACAAAGCCTTACCCTAACACCAGAACCCAAGACCAAGGGTCAAGAAATTTACAAATTTGGAAGCGTTACCCTCATCATCATTACTATGGACTTCAAAGAATTAACACTTTTCCACTATATTATCAAAAGCCCCCCCCCCCCCTCGTTATGCCAGAACCCCTGACCCTAGGACCACAAGATTTAAAAATTCTGTTCGAAGCTCCCATTTTCATCATAGCTAAGCAATTTATTTATTAGCTCAACAACAGGACGACAGGATTAATTAATGATTAATTAATAGAATTAATGCTTTTTCACTATATAATCAATAGAGCCCCCCCCCCCCCTTCAAGAACCCCAAAAACTGAGGCGATATATTTAAAAATTTTGGAAGAGGCATCCTTGTCTATCATAATCATGCACTTAGTTTGTTTAAATAATCTCCAGTAGCAGAGAAAAAGATTTTCAAAGAATCAATGATTTTTCACTATATAATCAATAGAGCCCCGCCCTAACACCAGAACCCCTGACCCTGGGGCCATGAAATTCACAATTTTTGAAAAGGCATCCTTATGCATCATAACCATGCACTTAGTTTGTTTAAATAATACCCAGGAGCAGAGAAGAAGATTTTCAAAGAATTAAAGCAGTTTCACTATATAATCAATAGAGCCCCACCCTAACACCAGAACCCCTGACCCAGGGGCCATGGCTTTCACAATTCTGGAAGAGGCCCACCTCCTCATCATAACTATGTACTTAGTTTATCACCTTAATGCCCAGGAGCAGAGGAGAAGATTTTCAAAGAATTAATGCATTTTCACTATATAGTCGATAGAGCCCCGCCCTAACACCAGAACCCCTGCCCCTGGGGCCATGAAATTCACAATTTTGGAAGAGGCACTCTTGCTCATCATAACTATGTACTTAGTTACTGAATTTAATACCCAGGAGCAGAGAAGAAGATTTTCAAAGAATTAATGCATTTTCACTTTATAATCAATAGAGCCCCGCCCTAACACCAGAACCCCTGATCCTGGGGCCATGAAATTCACAATTTTGGAAGACGCACTTTTGTTCATCCTAACTATGTACTTAGTTACTGAATTTAATACCCAGTAGCAGAGAAGAAGATTTTCAATGAATTAATGCATTTTCACTATATAATCAATAGAGCCCCGCCCTTACACCAGAACCCCTGCCCCTGGGGCCATGAATTTCACAATTTTAGAAGAGGCACTCTTACTCATCATAACTATATACTTAGTTAGTTTATTTAATACCCAGGAGCAGAGAAGAAGATTTTCAAAGAATTAATGCATTTTCACTATATAATCAATAGAGCCCCGCCCTAACACCAGAATCCCAGACCCTGGGGCCATGAATTTCACAATTTTGGAAGAGGCACTCTTACTCATCATAACTATATACTTAGTTAGTTTATTTAATACCCAGAAGCAGAGAAGAAGATTTTCAAAGAAATAATGCACTTTCACTATATGATCTATATAGCCCTGCCCTAGCACCAGAACCCCTGACCCTGGGGCCATGAATTTCACAATTTTGGTAGAGGACTCAATGCTCATTACAATGATGCCAACAGTTTGACTGCTTGATGTCCAGGAGTAAAGAAAAAGATTTTTAAAGATTGCATTAATTTTGGTGGTTTTAGCCCCACCCCTCAGGCCCCAGGGGGGCAGGGACCATGAAATTCACAATTTTTGTTCCCCTTCACCCATAGATACTATATGCCAAATTTGGTTGAGCAGTTCCAGAGAAGAAGCTAAAAATGTTCAAAAGTTTACGACCGACGAACGACGTACAACGACGGACGAAAACGGATAGCAATAGGTCACCTGAGTTTACTCAGGTGACCTAAAAAATCATAAAAAAGGCAGTACCGTACTCCGGATGTCAAAATTTGAATACTGGCGCAAAATATTTGACTACGTATATGTGCAGAAGATGTTTGAACTCATAAATCATTCTTTTTTAAGAGGTTTGGTAACGAATGTTTCGGTAACGGTTGTTTCATTTAATCATTTTCTCTTAAATAGTAAGCTAACAATAAGACATTGTTAAATCATGTTTGGAGCATGGAATACAGTTGTTGGATAGAAGAAAAAGTATCACATGTTTAACTATGATATCATTCTATTTCATCTATTAAACTAATACAACGAATGTTTCATGCCTATCCATACGCATGTAAAATAGGAAGATAGAATGTAATTTCAAAGTATTGGTAACATATACAAGGCTTTGTAACATTTTTTTTTTAATTTCAAGAAGTTTCCTTCAAAATAAAACGTATTCCAATCTTACAGGCATACAATACCTAATACTCATACTATATTTAATGTCACGGTCCGTTTTTATTTTGTTTCTGGCGACATGGGGATATCAGATCAAAGTTTGGTAATATATTTGTGATTATGCTCAATAATTTATTAAAAGCATTTTACAAATAAATGTTTTGAAGATATATGCTATCTAATTTAAGATTCAACTGTTATTTGTACAAAAAATAGCCATTTAAGTGTAATTATTCGATGTTGGCGACAGTAACGTACGTTTCAAAAAATCACTATATGCCAAATAAAATATCTCAATATGATTTGTTCACTTCATTTTTGTATTTTTGCCTTAAAGTTACATATTCATGCATTCATTCAAAAAGTATTTTCTTTGAAATTTCATTATTTTTTTATGCTTAACCCCCAACGACATCATTTGCACCATTTTATTGAGCTTGAGTGTATAAAATCACTTAGCAAAAGTTCATAAATTGTGTACAAATTCTAACCACAAATTCTTCACAACTACTTCTACTATTTCTTCTCCTATTATTATTTAATTATCCTGTTTTTATACTCTATTGACTCCTCTGACTCCCCTTAACTCCTCCTGATATATTTAATCTAGCCTAGACATAATTAATCACTATCATCTCCTTCTCCCATTCATTATGATCGCCTAACTTTCTCCTCATTATTTAATTATGACCTGTCCACAGTCTGGGTCAAACGTACAATAAATCTACCTAAGTGTCTGATGTAGTAAAATGATACAATTAAACTAAAGCTACAGAATAAGTAAATTTAAGATGGGAAAAAAAATAAAAGAACAAAAATATATAGGCTATACACTACAAATGTATGTCGTGGTTCTATTTTTAGACGTACACATGGTAGAACTAAAAAGGTTTCTCTTAATAATTAGTAACTTGTATGAAATTGTCCTCCATAATTAAATTTGCAATTTTAAAAAAAATATTCAAAGATATTATTTCTGCTGTCGTTGGTATATTTTCATTCCAGCAAATCTTGCTTTTTTGCGTCGTTCATTCATTCATTCATTCATGATTCACGTAACGTAAATATTTGTGTTTTCTGCAGGCCCTAGGAAAGGTACTAATTAAAATCTCACCTCGGTATCTTTTCAATAACCTACATTTATACAAAAGGCAAAAAAAGTTTAAATATTTTGACCATCTTACTATGATACGTACCCAACTTTCAATAATGGCACCTCCCAGACACCGGCCGGGGTGATTCGGCAGATAACCTGGTTCCCGAGGCCTTCCGATTGTGGGGGTTCCCCGATTGTGACATGCGACTGAACGTCATGATGATGATTTTGATAAGTCTAATAATTGAACTCTAAAAAAATGTCTTTGAACTTAGCTGCAACACCAGCGTAAGTATTACTCATAAAAGAAGGAAATAAGTTAAAAGATGTTTGTAATAGATTTCCGAATTATTTGTAACAAGTTGTACACTGAATGAACTATGACTTCAGCTAGTCTGAACTCGGGAAGACTATTTGACGGGAAAAAAATATTTTAAGGAAAATCTAAACGTAATTAAAATTAGCAAGCATTTCTTAAATCAAATGTAAAGTAGTTTTTTAACAGTGAATATGAACAGGAAATGATAGTTTTTGCTTTGCACGTATAAGGGTCTGTATGATCTGGTGTCGAAAAAGGGGGTGGGGTTGGAATGAAGACATGAAACTAGGCCAAGCCCTTTTTCTTCAGACCGAATAAGTTTGTCTGCCATTAACACATGTCTTTATTTCATCTTAATACTTAATGCTCAGACACTTTCTGCCTGGCCTGGTTCAGTGGTTTTACCCATCATATAAACAGGTCCAATACAGTAATTAGTACATTTAGCTATGTAGCTTGAAATTACTTTATCTAGCTACTTGAAGTAGCTTTATTTAGCTTTAGCTATTTCAATGCAAGTTTCCACAGTTTTGCTCATTATTTAAAATATACCAAAAAATGCAAATATATGACTACTAATATACTAGGGAGTTTTTAAAAAGGCAATCCAAATCAAAGATGGATCTAACATTACTGCTTTTGAACACTTTTAAGCAAATTTTTAAAAATGTATTTCCACTGTTTGAGTAACTGTACACCACCTTCAGTGACCTTGTGTGTATTGAGGCATGGATAATAATGATTACTTCACATTGTGCTGAATTATTGTCAATCAATTATCATTTTAACCAGAACTGGTCTTTGTTAACTGTTTGGTCACAATTTAACTGTTCTATATAGCCCCAAAACTTTTAGAACTTTGATTGCAATTGCACTCATAGGGGCTTTTCTTCTGGATTGTTAAATGTAAAATAAATTTAAAAATTTAATAAATTTTGAATCTTCTTTAAATACACTTAAAAGTTGTTAAAATAGAGATTCTAACACTTTCAGTCAAGAAAAAACATGTTTAAAAAAGACGTACCACACCTATATACATAAACTTATGTATATAGGTGTGGTATAATGTCTTTTTTAAAACATGGTTTTTCTTGACTGAAAGTGTTTTAAAATATTCATTGAAGTTTGGAAAGGAATATAGAGCAAATTATACACATTATTAGTCTTTGTAAAAACTTTTTAGAGCACTGGCCAGTTGAGCTGGTAGGAGAACTGTAGAATGTTCATTAGACCAAACACAATGTTACTGGTCCTAAGAAAAGCACAAATTTGTTCTGATTTAAAATTTATATTTTATTATAAATCCTTTACACACTGGAATTAGGCCAACATTTTACATTCTTATTTGCAATATGAGATTCAATAAAATGTTTTCCACATAACAGTACTGTTGATAACGTAGTGGTTTATGGATTGTCTTTTATCAGTGTTATAAGTAAAAAAGTAATGACTAAATAGGGGATCATTTCATCTAAAATGAGCTGATGAATTTTACAAGCCCAACAGACTTGTAGTTTTGATATTTCAAGAAGCACGAGCCAGATTTTACTGGCCTTGATCTTCGGACAACCAGTTAAATTTCGAAGCCTGTATCATATGGTCATATAACATGCAAGTACGTGTACCGTAATTAACATCACTGCAACTATTAATCATTTTTCCTGTGCAAAACATCTCTTAATCTGCCCCACCAAGAGCTTTGACTGCTATTGATGTCAACACCTACATGCAAAAATCAAGGGAATATCCTATGGATCCTAGTATAGATTTCCACAGAAAATTGAACTGCAATGAGCATAGACTAATTTATATATTTTAATGTTATTTCAGTCTTGAAAATATATTAAATTAAACCAGCATTGAGACTCAAAGGTACACACACAAGTGCATAATATTCATTAAATGTTATGTCAGCTGGAAGATTTTGCCAATTAATGAGAAAATCTCTTTTAGGATAAAAAGAGCTGTTGTCCATATAAATGAACTGGATATATCAAAGTTTCCCTTACTGTTAACAAGGATTCTTTCTAAGCTTCATTTAAAGGTGAGTATCACTTATCATGCTTATGCAAAGGCTAATACAAGGTACATGTGTAGATGATGGAATAATAATAATTTCAATGAAATATTAATAATGTGTCTTTGTGTGCATGTAAAATAAACATATATTTACTTAGTAAGAAAGACTGATGGGCTTTGAAAGTCCTTTAAGTGCCATCCAAGTTCTTTACAGATTTACTTACAGCCCAAACTTCATATATACAAAAAGGATGAGGCAAAAAAAAACCCAAGAGCTTTAGGACGAATTAAAAAATTGAAAGAGAATTCATAATATGACATTAACTTGTATTAAATGCCACCTTTAGCGTCTTTGAGAGCAGGGCTTCATTGAAGTGAATAAACACAATATTTTCATACTTTAAAACAACAGTTCCTGAAATGTATATTATTTGACATCTTCGCTAGCCAAGGGTTTCTGATACGCTACTCTCCTCATAAACCCTTGGCATACGGTGCTGACAAAAGACGGGATTGTTTTCGTCACGTGATCACGATTCTTACCAGGTACGCACAGATTGCGTCATCGACAGAAATAAAAAGCGTATTTAAAAAAATAATGTTTTTAAAGAATAATTAACAAGAAGGTATTGAGTTATGTTTATTTGTTCTTTAAACATGTTCAAATGCAAATCTACATCTTCAGTATAGATTCTTAATCACATACTTTGCACGTAGCTTAAGATATTGGATGACACCATATAGCTATTCATAGAATGGCATGTTATCTTACGGATCGTTGTTTACTTGTGTTTTTCATTCCCGATATTAAAGAGTCAAGATATATCCCCGAACGCAAATATCGTCATTTACAAAAAACAATTGCTGATTGGTCGAACGATGTCGATCAACTCCAAACACAACTTGAGAAAAAAATCCCAACTTTTTTTAACACCGTATGCCAAGGGCTTATGAGGAGAGTAGCATATCAGAAACCCTTGGCTAGCGAAGATGATTATTTGATGCAGTAATCTTTAAACCAGAATGATTATACATAAAAATCTCTGTGGTTTGTTTCAACTTATTATTTAATGCTCATGATCCTTTACAACCAAATGATGATGATCAGCTTTAGATGTTTACAGGTACATGTAGTATAATAGACCAAAAAATATGAAGTTACAAGTATGCTAACAGCTAGTTTGAAATTGTTTAGATCATGTAGATCGGCTTTAAAGAAAAGGTCAAAAACTTAAAACTGCTTTGTGAAACTAGCATGATATAATTCCAGGATGAAAGAACATTCTCAGAAGAGGAGGAAGAGAAACTCCAGTCATCACTGTCCTTGTCTGATACTGACCTGGAACTAGTCATTCATACTCTGGAGTTCATCCTACATCAGGTACTGTTAATCAATTTTTATTCATAATCAATTTCATGAGATCTTTATATTGCATAATTGCGCAAGATTGTCTGCTCATGAAAATTTCATTATCATGTATATTACCGATAGTATTGTTAAAGATTATTTAGAGCAATGACTATGAAAATTTTGTCTCGCTTATATATACATGTACCAAATAATAATCTCGCAAAAATAAGGTGTCTTAAGTGTTCTACAGTATACTTTGTTAAAAAATACTGAATGACAACAAACCTGTAGGATAAATTCTATTTAGTCTTGATAATAATGCAAATGTCATTTGTTGTCACTTCCAGGCAGCTTACCACACAGCTAAACCAGGGATTTTAGGTCAGCAGCTTCAACAGTTAGAGCTAGAGGAGGAAAAAGTGTGTAACATTTTTTAGCTTGCATGTTATAAAATAGATAACTTAGTTGATTAAATCCCTTGCATCCCATTGGTGGGTGATCACAGTTGTCTTCGCCTCTATTATAAGTAATGTTAATGTTCTAATCCTCTCCTTGAGATAGGACTGTTTAATACAGATGTGATGTTTAAATAGTACTAAGGTATATATTTTCTTTATGATATAAGATACCATGAATGTACATCTGTTATTCTAGCATCTTTACTCCTTTGAGGTGACCCCAGTCACTCAAGTGACCCATTCACTGTTCATATCCGTACTTCTAAATATTTTCAGCTGCTCTGTATTGGTGGAATCAATTTCAACCAGGTTTTGTATGCAGCGTAGATAGATAAAGGGAGAACAAAAATGTAAATTTCATGGTCCCAGCCCCTTTCCATCTGTATAAATTGTTTATTTTTATGGCCCCGCCATAAAATGGACGGGGCATATAGTGTTACCCTGTTCCATCATTCCATCATCATTCACTTTCCATTCGTTATCTAGGCAACAGCTAAACATATTCAACTCAAATTTGACATATGGATACATCATAGAAATATGCAGGTCAAGTTCGAATTTGGTCATGGTCCGATGATTTTTGACAGAGTTATCCCTCTTGAACTTGGAAAAAGATAAGAAATTTTCAGTTTCCGCTCTTTAACTTTTATAGGGATGTATGTATAAGGTTGAAATTGCATGTGCAGGTATTTTACCAGAAAATAAAGGGCAAATTCAAATTTGGCCATGGTCCGATGATTTTTGATAGATTTATCCTTCTTGAACTAGAAATTTTCAGTTTCCGCTCTCTAACTTTTGTAGGGATGTGTGTATAAGGTTGAAATTGCATATGCAGGTATTTTACTAGAAAATACAGGTCAATTTTGAATTTGGTCATTGTCTGATGATTTTTGGCAGAATTATCCCTCTTGAACTTAGAAAAAATAAGAAATTTTCAGTTTCTGCTCTCTTACTTTTGTAGGGATGTATGTAAGAGGTTGAAATTACATATGCAGGTATTTTACCAGAAAATACAGATCAAGTTTGAATACAAATTTAAAACTAAATATGGCATTTGAAATTTTGGCTGCCTGTGGGGGCATTCGTGGCATTATGGCACATCAATTTTTTTTTTAATTTTCCTATTTACATCATGATGATTTAAAGAGTAATTATAAGATGACTAATGTCAGAGCAAACATGTAGGATACACATTTTTTTGTAGGTAAAAGTTATTGTTGATGCCTGGAAAAACACTGCTGCAGATGTAGTATCAAAGCTTCGTCAGAGGAGTATAACACCTAAACGACTGGAGGAGATCAACTGGAGACTGAACCTTCAGATGGCCCAGTCCAGCAAGGCCAAGATGAAGCTCCCTAATGCCATGTTTGAATTGGGGATCAGCGATGAAAACTCTGAGGTTTGAATTACATGTATAGGGTTGAAAATTTGATTGATGATTTGGTCACTACAAGTTGATTAATTCTACATGAAAAATAACATAGTGAAATCCTACTCAAAAGAGCCTGAAGGAATATTTAGCTGTACATGCATCAAGTCCTTCAGACTGCACAAGAAATAACTAAAAAAAAAATACTGTGTTCTCTAAATTAAGATTTTTTGAAGATGCTTTTAATTTCCATTAAAATATTAAATTTAGGTAGTAGTTACAGCCCTAATTGTAGGAATTACTTATTATCATTCATATGAACAACAAGTTGGTTACTCATAAAAATATGCTCATTTAACATTGATAAGATTCTGTTTCATTTCTTTAGAACAAAGAGAAAATTCACTTTGAGATGACACATGATGAATTATACTCATTCTACAGCCAGGTATGATATAAAAGTACATGTATATTGTATTTAAAATGTAGAAGTTCAGGCTTTACGGACCGTGGATGTTGGCCTGGATAGCTCAGTGGTTAGAGCACCTGACTAGTAATGCAGGGGTCCGGGGTTCAATTCCCGGTCCAGCCATATGTTTTCTTCATGCATTTCTCCTTTCCTACTACATTTGGTGGCCAGAGGGGGGGGGGGGGGGGGGGCTTGTACAGGTTACAGTGTATATGTAAATTAGTAATTCCTGGCAGGGCCTTAGAACTTGTGTCTTCAAGGTCGAAGACTGTTTAAGGAGGGAGGAATATAGAAGTTCGGGCTTTATGGACCATGGAAAATCGGCTTGGATAGTTCAGTGGTTAGAGCACCTGACTAGTAATACAGGGGTCCCGGGTTCGATTCCCGGTCCAGTCGTATGTTTTCATCATGCATTTCTCCTTTCGTACTACATTTGGTGGCCAGTGTGGGGGGCCTTGTTCAGGTTACAGTGTATGTGTAAATTAGTCATTCCTGGCAGGGCCTTAGAACTTGTGTCTTCGAGGTCAAAGACCGTTTATGGAGGGAGGAATGTAGAAGTTCGGGCTTTACGGACCGTGGATGTCGACCTGGATAGCTCAGTAGATAGAGCACCTAACTAGTTATGCTGGGGTCCCAGGTTCAATTCCTGGTCCAGCCATATGTTTTCTCCATGCATTTCTCCTTTCCTAAAAAAAGGTTTGTAGATGATGAGGAAGACTAGTGGCAGTTTTTAAGTTGACTGATTGACTAATGCTAATACAAGTCTCCTCAGCATTCTGGATCATTCATTTTGTATTCAAGCATGTTCAAGGGTTGTCCAAAATGTTGATATTAACTCATCGATGTCTTCAAAATCAGAGAAACAAAAGAATTATTTGATGAGTTTTTAGTAAGTTTTATTTCAATTTCATCAATTTGCTAAGGAAAATTGATTTTTTTTTTGCTTTAGTTTCATTTTTTTCTAGTCTACTGGTATCAGGGAGCATAGCATTTGGTAAAAAAAATCTTGTATTTGATGTGTTTTGTTTTTTTTTTTTTTAGCTTGAAACAATACAAAAGCAACTGGATGGTCTAGGCTGAACAAAATTAAGCAAGGAGGACCAAATGGATTTGGTCAGAAAGTTCATCAGTTTTTACAAGACCAAACTAACATTTTAAAAAGTCATTGGAAGAATATTCCTCATTGATTCAGTTTTCAGTAGTGGCCAAGTCATTATGATCTATTTTGTTGTGTCTAGCCATGAACATAAATATTTTATATACATATACATGTATTGCAATATTTATTAAATTTGGAAAGAATATGGTTTTATAAACATTCCTAATATTCTTTCATTAAACTTTTACAATTTTTCCTGCTTTTGTTTATTAGCTCTACTGGTCAGAGACCAGAAGAGCTAATGCGATAGTAAGGTGTCCGTCGTCCGTCCGTCTAGCTGTCTGTCTGTCCATCCGTCTGTAAACAATTTTTCAAAACGCTACTCCTCCTACAGTTTTGGTCTGATTTCAATATAACTTGGCACACAAGTAGACTACACTAAGATACACATAATTCTGTGTATCGATTTTTGATTTCGATAAACGGTGTTGCCATGGTTACTAAAAATAAAATTTTCCTTGAAAAACTTTCAAAACGCTGCTCTTCCTACAGTTTTGATCTGATTTCAGTAAAAATTGGCATATAAGTATACTACACTAAGATACATAATTCTGTTTATCGGTTTTTAATTTGATGAACAGTGTTGCCATGGTTACTAAAAATAGAAATTTCTCTGTAATACTTTCAAAATGCTACTCTTCCTACAGTTTTGGTCTGATTTCAGTATAACTTAGCACACAAGTAGACTACACTAAGATACATAATTCTGTACATCGTTTTTTTTTTTTTTATTTCAATGAATGGAGTTGCCATGGTTACTAAAAATATAAATTTCCTTGAGATACTTTCAAAATGCTACTCCTCCTACAGTTTTGATCTGATTCAATATAACTTGGCACACAAGTAGACTACACTAAGATACATAATTCTATTTATTGGTTTTTGATTTCGATGAACGGTATTGCCATGGTTACTAAAAATAGAAATTTCTGTGAAATACTTTCAAAATGCTACTCTTCCTAAAGTTTTGGTCTGATTTCAGTATAACTTAGCACACAAGTAGACTACACTAAGATACATAATTGTCTTTATTGTTTTTTTGATTTTGTTGAATGATGATGTCATGGTTACTAAAATCGAAATTTCTGTAAAATTCTGTAAAATGGCTATTCTTCCTACAGTTTTAGTCTGATTGCAATAAATCTTGCCACAAAAAGAGACTAAACCATGGATCATTATTCTATTTATTGCTGTTGCAAAGTTTCAAGTCCAAGTGCTACTTTTATCTTCCTTCATTATAAGTACAAACCAGTAGAGCTACAGTCTCGTCAGAGACTTCTGGTTTTTATTTCTGATCTGAGAAAAGAGGACAATCTTCTTTCTAAGAGAACAGGAGATTAACAAATGAAGGGCCATTCCTTTTAAGGGTAGATATAAATTTTTTTGTGAAGTTAAACTGTGAAATGCATCACCCCTGGGTCCATAATTCAGGCCTTAGTGTGTGATGTTGGTCATGTAATGAAAATCCATGTTTGAAAATCCTCTTCGCTACTCATAGACATTAGATAGGACTTAGTGTTAATGGTGTGTTCCATTTTTCCTTAACTGTTTTATACAGGTAGGAAAAGGTTGAAAAGTACTAAGGCAAAGTGGGAAAGTTTGGTAGTCCCTATGTAACAACAATAATTGTAAAGGAGATGGGTGAACATAGCTTGCAGAAAGCTTCAGATATATAAAAATCATGTTCAGTTTGTGAATTTAGTATTTAGAGTATAAGTTCTCATGATTGAAATCTATGAAATTATGATAAACAAAACTTTTCTGAGGAAAATTTTCTCGGCAAAATTTATTCTTTTATTTAAAAAATAATGTAGTAATTGTGGGGTTCGAGCCCTAGCAATAAAAATCCTGAGTATCATTTTCTTTCAAGACTAGCACGCTAACCACTAGACTACTCAAGTCCTGATGAAGAGTGGCATTTAAATCATGTTTGTGATATGACCCTTGACTTAATGGACTTCAAGTATTTCTCAAAAAGATCTTAATGTTATGTCATAAAAGTATATTTTTAAAGTATAGTGGGTCTGTGCTCCATATTTTTGGTAACCAAAAAATGTTTATTTTTATGCAAACTTTGAGGATTAACTTTCAAAAAAGTGGAGCGAAGACCCACTCATATCGGAAAGTAGTGTTATAGTATGAGAAAATGACTCTTTTTGCCCGCTTTAGTGCATTTGTAATATTTCCATAATTTCCATCTTTGAGGGATTTTTGCAAATTGTAGAGATTTTACATAAATTATATTTTATTGTTAGCTGAAATATCAAGGAAAATTTTTATATAATTGAAATTTAATTTTTCACCTTCATGTTTGTCACACTATAAGCTTTTCGATCGTCATTTTACAGTTAAAGCAAAATGAGAACAAGCCTTGTTAATTATATTCATGCAAAGAGATAAGTCTCAACCTAGGACCTGAATACTGGACCCAAGGGACAACGGTGGTCACGTGTGCTATTAGGTCCTACCATTAATCTCATGAGTTTTTCATTCAGTATCAATAATAAAATGAATGATGGAAAACTAAAAATTACATAAGTGTTGTTTTTAGCTCACCTGAGCCGAAGGCTCAAGTGAGCTTTTCTGATCACATTTTGTCTGTAGTCCGTCTGTCTGTCCGTCTGTCCGTCCGTCTGTAAACTTTTCACATTTTCAACTTCTTCTCAAGAACCACTGGGCCAATTTCAACCAAACTTGCCACAAAGTATCCTTGGGTGAAGGGGATTCAAGTTTGTTCAAATGAAGGGCCACGCCCTCTTTCAAGGGGAGATAATAAAGAATAAGTGAAAAATTAATAGCATCTTTGAAAAATCTTCTTCTCAAGAACCACAAAGCCAGGGAAGATGAAACTCATGTGGAAGCATTCTCAGGTAGTGTAGATTCAAATTTGTTCAAATCATGACCCCTGGGGGTAGGGCGGGGCCACAATGGAGGATCAAAGTTTTACATAGAAATATATAGGAAAAATCTTTAAAAATCTTCTTCTCAAGAACAGCAAAGCCATGATGAGTCATATTTATATGGAAGCATCCTCAGGTAGTGTAGATTCAAGTTTGTTCAAATCATGACCCCCGGGGGTAGGGCGGGGCCACAATGGAGGATCAAAGTTTTACATAGAAATATATAGGAATTTTTTTTATAAATCTTCTTCTCAAGACAAGCAAAGCCATGATGAGTCATATTTATATGGAAGCATCCTCAGGTAGTGTAGATTCAAGTTTGTTCAAATCATGACCCCCGGGGGTAGGGCGGGGCCACAATGGAGGATCAAAGTTTTACATAGAAATATATAGGAAAAACCTTTAAAAATCTTCTTCTCAAGAACAGCAAGGCCCTAATTGGTCATATTTATATGGAAGCATCTTCAGGTAGTGTAGATTCAAGTTTGTCCAAATCATGACCCCCGGGGATAGGGCGGGGCCACAATGGGCAATCAAAGTTTTACATAGAAATATATAGGAAAACCTTTAAAAATCTTCTTCTCAAGAACAGCAAGGCCCTAATTGGTCATATTTATATGGAAGCATCCTCAGGTAGTGTAGATTCAAATTTGTCCAAATCATGACCCCCGGGGGTAGGGCGGGGCCACAATGGAGGATCAAAGTTTTACATAGAAATATATAGGAAAAACCTTTAAAAATCTTCTTCTCAAGAACAGCAAGGCCCTAATTGGTCATATTTATATGGAAGCATCTTCAGGTAGTGTAGATTCAAGTTTGTCCAAATCATGACCCCCGGGGATAGGGCGGGGCCACAATGGGCAATCAAAGTTTTACATAGAATAGGAAAATTTACCTTTAAAAATCTTCTTATCAAGAACAGCAAAGCCATGATGAGTCATATTTATATGGAAGCATCCTCATGTAGTGTAGAGTCAAGTTTGTTCAAATCATGACCCCCGGGGGTAGGGCGGGGCCACAATGGAGGATCAAATTTGTACATAGAAATATATAGGAAAAATCTTTAAAAATCTTCTACTCAGGAACAGAAAAGCCCTGCTTGCTCATATTTATCTGGAAATATCCTCAGGTAGTGTAGATTTGAGTTTGTTTAAATCATGACCCCCTGGGGTAGGGCGGGGCCACAATGGAGAATCAATGTTTGAAATAGAAATATATACAGGAAGGTATCTTCTGATGAAGAACTGCAAAGCCATGATTAGTCATTTTGATATGGAAGCATCCTCAGGTAGTGTAGATTCAAGTTTGTTAAAATGATGACCCCGGGGGATAGGGATGGGCCACAATGGGGGATCAAAAATTTTACATAGGAACATATTGGAAAATATCTTCTTCTCATGAAATGAAAATCATGTTTAGTCATTTTGATATGGAAGAATCCTCAGGTAGTGTAAATTCAATTTTTGTTCGAATGATAACCCCCAGGGTAGGGTGGGGCCCAATGGGGATCGAAAGTTTTATATAAGAAAAGATAGAAAAAATAACAGAAAAGTTATGTTTAGTCATATTGATGTGGAAGAATCCTCGGGTAGTGTAGATTCAAGTTTGTTCAAATGATGACCTCTGGGATAGGGAGGAGGCACAATGGGGGATCAAATTTTTACAAAGGAATATATGGGAAAAAATTTTTAAAATCTTCTCAAGTACAACAAAGCCATTTGTTATACATGTATTGACATGGAAGCATCAATAGGTAGTTTAAAATTCCCCCCCCCCCCCCCCCCCCCCCGGGTAATCTTTTCAATACTGAACTGATTTGTGTCTAGCCAATGTGCTCAGGTGAGCGATGTGGCCCATGGGCCTCTTGTTTAAACTTTATTTCCAGTAAAATCTCAAGTGATGACCATTAGGAAAATTGCATAATGCAAGACTACACTGATGCATGAACAAGTATCATTCAAATGGCAAATTAGAAGTTTTGATTAGTATAATATTATAAAAGATGTAAATTTAATTATTTTTTACCTCTAATGGACTTAAAAATCAATTTGATATACATGTATCCATAAATTCATTTCAGAGTTCACAATAACCATAAAATTTTACAAGATTGCTGGGAACCACAAAAAAACACTCAATTATAGTAAAGTCCTGAGGACTAGTGAATTTACTTCACTTTCCGTAATTTCTTACATCCGTAAAATTAATTTTTTTGTTAAATTATATATAGCAATTCCCTACATATGTTTCAATTCAAGTATGACTAAAACATACACAAGGAAATATTAAATA